GTGAGAACAAGATTCCTGGCGGTGAGGACGAAGTTCCTGGCAGTGACGACAAGGTTTCTTGCAGTGAGAACAAGGTTCCTGGCGGTGAGGACAAGGTTCCTGGTCGTGAGGACAAGGTTCCTGGTCGTGAGGACAAGGTTCCTGCCGGTGAGGACAAGGTTCCTGGCTGTGAGGACAAGGTTCCTGGCGGTGAGAACAAGGTTCCTGGCGGTGAGGACATTGTTACTGACGTTGAAGGCAAGGTTCCTGGCGGTAAAGACACGGTTCATGGCGGTGAGGACAAGGTTACTGGCGGTGAGGACAAGGTTCCTGGCGGTGAGGACAAGGTTACTGGCGGTGAGGACAAGGTTACTGGCGGTGAGGACAAGGTTCCTGGCGGTGAGAACAAGGTTGCTGGCGGTGAGGACAAGGTTCCTGGGCGTGAGGACAAGGTTCCTTGGCGTGAGGACAACGATCCTGGCGGTGACGACAAGGTTCCTGTGGGTGAGGACAAAGTTCCCGGCGGTGACGACAATGTTACTGGCTGTGAGAACAAGGTTCATGGAGGCGAGGACTTGGTTCCTGGCGGTGAGGACAAGGTTCCTGGCGGTGAGAACAAGGTCCCTGGCGGTGAGGACATTGTTACTGGTGGTGAGGGCAAGGTTCCTGGCGGTAAAGACAAGTTTCCTGGCGGTGAGGACAAGGTTACTGGCGGTGAGGACAAGCTTCCTGGCGGTGAGGACAAGGTTACTGGCGGTGAGGACAAGGTTAATGGCGGTGAGGACAAGGTTCCTCGGCGTAAGGACAAGGTTCCTGGCGGTGAGAACAAGGTTTGTGGCCGTGAGGACAAAATTCCTGGGCGTGAGGGCCGGGTTCCTGGGCTTGAGGACAAGGATCCTGGCGGTGACGACAAGGATCCTGGCGGTGAGGACAAGGTTCCTGGCGGTAACGACAATGTTACTGGCTCTGAGGACAAGGTTCCTGGCGGCAAGGACTTGGTTCCTAGCGGTGAGGACAAGGTTCCTGGCAGTGAGGACAAGGTTCCTGGCTGTGAGAACAAGGTTTCTGGCGGTGCAGACAAGGTTCCTGGCCGTGAGGGCAAGATTCCTGGCCGTGAGAACAAGGTTCCTGGCGGGGACGATAAGGTTACTGGCGGTGAGGATAAGGTTTCTGGCGGTGACGACAATGTTACTGGCTGTGAGGACAAGGTTCATGGCGGTGAGGACAAGGTTACTGGCGGTGAGGACAAGGTTAATGGCGGTGAGGACAAGGTTCCTGGCGGTGAGAACAATGTTCCGGGCGTTGCAGACAAGGTTTCTTGCCGTGAGGGCAAGGTTCCTGGCCGTGAGAACAAGGTTGCTGGCGGTGACGACAAGGTTACTGGCGGTGAGGACAATGTTCCTGGCGGTGAGGACAAGGTTACTGGCGGTGAGGACAAGGTTACTGGCGGTGAGGACAAGGTTCCTGCTGGGAGGACATGGTTCCTGGCGGTGAGGACAAGGTTCCTTGTGGTGAGGACAAGGCTCCTGGTGGTGAGGACAAGGTTTCTGGCGGTGTGGAAAAGGTTCCTGGCAGTGAGAACAAGGTTACTGGCTTTGAGAACAAGGTTACTTGCATGAGGAGAAAGTTCCTGGCCGTGAGGACAAGGTTACTGGCGGTGAGGACATTGTTACTGGCGTTGAGGGCAAGGTTCCAGGCGTTGAGGGTAAGGTTCCTGGCGGTAAAGACATGGTTCCTGGCGGTGAGGACAAGGTTACTGGCGGTGAAGACAAGCTTCCTGGCGGTGAGGACAAGGTTAATGGCGGTGAGGACAAGGTTAATGGCGGTGAGGACAAGGTTCCTGGCGGTGAGAACAAGGTTCCTGCCGGTGAGGACAAGGTTCCTGGGCGTGAGGACAAGGTTTCTGTCGGTGAGAACAAGGTTCCTGGCCGTGAGGACAAGGTTCCTGGGCGTGAGGACAAGGTTCCTGGGCGTGAGGACAAGGATCCTGGCGGTGACGACAAGGTTCCTGGCCGTGAGGACAAGGTACCTGGCGGTGAGAACAAGGTTACTGGCGGTGAGGACATTGTTACTGGCGGTGAGGGCAAGGTTCCTGGCGGTAAATATATGGTTCCTGGCGGTGAGAACAAGGTTACTGGCGGTGAGGACAAGCTTCCTGGCGGTGAGGACAAGGTTAATGGTGGTGAGGACAAGGTTCCTGGCGGTGAGAACAATGTTCCTGGCGGTGCGGGCACGGTTCCTGGCCGTGAGGGCAAGGTTCCTGGCCGTGACAACAACGTTCCTGGCGGTGACGACAAGGTTACTGGCGGTGAGGACAAGGTTCCTGGCGGTGAGGACAAGGTTACTGGCGGTGAGGACAAGGTTGCTGGCGGTGAAGACAAGGTTTCTGCTGGGAGAGCATGGTTCCTGGCGGCGAGGACAAGGTTCCTGGCGGTGAGGACAAGGTTCCTGGCGGTGAGAACAAGGTTTGTGGCGGTGTGGAAAAGGTTCCTGGCAGTGAGAACAAGGTTACTGGCTGTGAGAACAAGGTTACTTGCATGAGGAGAAGGTTCCTGGCCGTGAGGACAAGGTTCCTGGCGGTGAGAACAATGTTCCTGGCGGTGAGGACATTGTTACTGGCGGTGAGGGCAAGGTTCCTGGCGGAAACGACAAGGTTCCTGGCGGTGAGGACAAGGTTACTGGCGGTGAGGATAAGCTTCCTGGCGGTGAGGACAAGGTTTCTGGCACTGAGAACAAGGTTAATGGCTGTGAAAACAAGGTTACTGGCATGAGGACAAGGTCCCTGGCCGTGAAGACAAGGTTCCTGGTGGTGAGGACAAGGGTCCTGCCGTTGAGAACAAGGTTCGTGGCGGTGAGGAAAAGGTTCCTGGCGTCCTGGTGGTGAGGACAAGGTTCCTGGCGGTGAGGACAAGGTTCCTGGCGGTGAGGACAAGGTTTCTGGCGGTGAGGACAAGGTTAGTGGCTTTGAGAAAAAGGTTACTAGCGGTGAGGACAAGCTTCCTGGCCGCGAGGACAAGGTTACTGTCGGCGAGGACAAGGTTAATGGCGGTGAGGACAAGGTTGTTGGCGGTGAGAACAAGATTTCTGGCGGTGAGGGCAAGGTTCCTGGGGGTGAGGACAATGTTCCTGGCGGTGAGAACAAGGTTCCTGGCGGTGAGGACAAGGTTCCTGGGCGTGAGGACAAGGTTCCTGGGCGTGAGGACAAGGCTGCTGGCGGTGACGACAAGGTTCGTGGCGGTGAGCACAAGTTTACTGGCTGTGAGGACAAGGTACCTGGCGTCGAGGACTAGGTTCCTGGCGGTGAGGACAAGGTTCCTGGCGGTGAGGACAAGGTTCGTGGCGGTGAGCACAAGGTTCCTGGCGGGGACGACAAGTTTACTGGCGGTGAGGACAAGGTCCCTAGCGGCGAGGACAGGGTTCCTGGCTGTGAGGAAAAGTTTCCTGGCAGTGAGAACAAGGTTACTGGCTGTGAAGACAAGGTTACTGGCATGAGGTCAAGGTTCCTGGCGCTGCGAACAAGGTTCCTGGCGCTGAGGACAAGGTTCCTGGCGGTGAGGACCGGGTCCCTGGCGGTGCGGACAATCTTCCTAGTGGTCAGGACAAGGTTCCTCGCGCTGAGGACAAGGTTCCTGGCGCTGAGAACAAGGTTCCTGGCGCTGAGAACAAGGTTCCTGGGGCTGAGGACAAGGTTCCTGGCGTTAAGGACAAGGTTCCTGGTGTTGAAGAGAAGGTTGCCGGCCGTGAGGACAAGGTTCCAGGTGGTGAGGATAAGGTTGCTGACGGTGAGCACAAGGTTCCTGGCGGTGTCGACACGGTTACTGGCTGTGAGGAATAGGTTGCTGGCGGTGAGGACTAGGTGCCTGGCGGCGATATCAAGGTTCATGGCCGTGAGGACATGGTGCCTGGCGGCGAGGACAAGGTTACTGGCTATAAGGACTAGGTTACTGGCGGTAGGAACAATGTTCCTGGCCGGGAGAACGAGGTTCCTGGCCGTGAGGAAAAGGTTCCTGGCGGTGAGGACAAGGTTGCTGGCGGTGAGGACAAGGTTCCTGGCGGTGAGCACAAGGTTACTGGTGGTGACGACACGGTTACTGGCTGTGAGGAGAAGGTTGCTGGCATGAGACCAAGGTTCCTGGTGGTGAGGACAAGGTTTCTGGCCGCGAGGACAAGGTTCCTGGTGGTGAAGACAAGGTTCATGGCGGTGAGCACAAGGTTCCTGGTGGTGACGACACGGTTACTGGCTGTAAGGAGAAGGTTGCTGGCGGTGAGGACTAGCTCGCTGGCGGTTACAACAAGGTTACTGGCTGTGAGGACAAGGTTGCTGGCGGTGAGGACTAGATTCCTGGCGGTGAGATCAAGGTTCCAGGCCGTGAGGACAAGGTTCCTGGCGGTGAGGACATGGTTCCTGGCGGTGAGAACAAGCTTCCTGGCGGTGAGGAAAAGGTTCCTGGCGGTGAGGACCAGGTTCCTGCCGGTGAGATCAAGGTTCCTGGCCTAGAGGACAAGGTTCCTGGCGACGAGGACAAGGTTACTGGCTGTGAGGACTAGGTTACTGGCGGTGAGGACAAGGTTCCTGGCCGTGAGGACAAGGTTCCTGGCCGTGAGGACAAGGTTCCTGGCGGTGAGGACATGGTTCCCGGCAGTGCGGACAAGATTCCTGCCGGTGAGGACAAGGTTCCTGGCGGTGAGGACAAGGTTCCTTGCGGTGAGGAAAAGGTTCCTGGCAGTGAGAACAAGGTTAATTACTGGCTGTGAGGACAAGGTTACTGGCATGAGGACAAGATTCCTGTCCGTGAGGAGAAGGTTCCTGGCGGTGAGGGCAAGTTTCCTGGCGGTGAGGAGAAGGTTCCTGGCGGTGAGGACAATGTTCCTGGCGGTGACGACAAGGTTACTGGCTGTGAGGACAAGGTTCCTGTCGGTGAGAACTAGGTTCCTGGCGGTGAGGACAAGGCTCCTGGCGGTAAGGACAAGGTTCCTGGCGGTGAGGACAAGGTTACTCTCGGTAAGGACAAGGCTCCTGGCGGTGAGGACAAGGTTCCTGGCGGTGAGGACAAGCTTCCTGGCGGTGAGGACAAGGTTCCTGGCGGTGAAGTCAAGGTTCCTGGCGGTGAGGACAAGGTTCCTGACTGTGAGGACAAGGCTGCTGGCGGTGAGGACAAGGTTCCTGGCGGTGAGGACAAGGTTAGTGGCTGTGAGGACAAAGTTACTGGCTGTGAGGACAACGTTCCTGGCGATGAGGACAAGGTTCCTGGCCGTGAGGACAAGGTTCCTGGCGGTGAGGACAAGGTTCCTGGCGGTGAGGACAAGGTTACTGGCTGTGAGGACAAGGTTCCTGACGGTGAGGAGAAGGGTCCTGGCGGTGAGGACAAGGTTCCTGGCGGTGAGGACAAGGTTCGTGGCCGTGAGGACAAAGTTCCTGGCCGTGAGGACAAGGTTCCTGGCGGTGAGGACAAGGTTCCTGGCGGTTAGGACAAGGTTCCTGGCAGTGAGGAGAAGGTTCCTGGCGGTGACGACAAGGTTGCTGGCGGTGACGACAAGGTTGCTGGCTGTGAGGACAAGGTTACTAGCGTTGAGGACAAGGTTCCTGGCCGAGAGGACAAGGTCAGGGGCGCCGGAAGCAATGTGAAGCGGCGGGGACAGCGATTTCAAAAGGGACTTCCTTCTCAGCCATCGTTTTTCTGGGCAGCAATATTTATTGAAACTTTACAGTATGGATGCACGATTACTTCTGGCTATTATGGATCGCAAACTTCGAAATGTAGATCGATTTTTAGCTATTCGTTATACGGTGCTAAAGGCGCAAAATAAAATCAGTAAACAGACTTATATTGGTTGGTTTAGCATTAATTTTACTACAACTGGTTAATAATTAAGCAAAGATTGCTTAAAGGTGCTGTACAGTCCGTTCTGCGTATGTGAACAAAGGAACCCTCTTCTTATTATACAAACATTTTATTCGGGTTTTTATTTCATTTTATGTTCTTGCAAAGCTTAATTGTTGTGTCTTGATAATTTATTATACTCTAGAATCATGAATATATATATAGTTGTCGAATAAAATTCTATATTTTGGATACCGAAATGTAAACAAATCCTTTGTTTACATACGGACTGTATTGCATCTTTAAACATTGCTTAAAAATAGTTCGAAATTCCAATTGCTGTGAATAATGCACAAATTTCGAGGTGTAGTTCTGGCAAAAAGTGCACCCTGTTGCCCCCGTGCTGCCCCCGCAATGTTTGGCAACGGGGGCAGTTTCTCTCGCTGTCCCCGTGGCTCCGGCGCCCCTGACAAAAGTATATTGTATATATTGTTGAGTAAGGATAAATAGTATATTGTGTATAATAATAAAAATAATAATAATAGTCTTTATTAATCAATACTCGAAACACACGTCCGAATTTACATGGAATTATAAAAATAAAGTATATAGTCTATTTTACGTTAATTGTTTACATCAATAATTTAATAAAACTAGTAAAATTCTACAATATTGTTAAAATGTATCATGCACCAGATAAAATTGTAGAGATCTATTTACAAAAGATTTTTTAAATCTTTCAGTTCTTACTAAGGGCAGCTCAAAGTCATAAGCCCTTTGCCTTAAAGTTCGATTTAATTTGTCGGGTAAAAGTTCTCTTAGTGCATTATTTTCATCATCTAATATTTTTTTCCATAACTTCTTGTCTCTCTTATTAATTATATCTCTAAAATTAGATTTCTCTGTCACATACCCATTACGGTATGCACGACTTACAAACTTATCAATCTGACTAATGTATTTAGTGTAAGAAGCTCCTTTCCAAAGGTCAATTCCGAAAGTGAATAATGACATTATTAAACTCTGAAAGAGAAGTTCTAACTGCTTTGTTGTAAAACCATAATATTTACACGCCCATAAAATGTACATTCTTCCACTCGCTTTTTTAAGCATCTCTTCTAATTGTCTGTCCCAATTTTCCAGTATTTCCTCAAGCGTAATTCCAAGTATCTTGAGCCATGTTTTCCGTTTGATGGACGGAATGCAACTGGGTAGAAGTATCGATGTTCTCCCACGAACAATCATTACGTATGTTTTATTCATATTCAGCACCATTCGATTTTCATCTGACCATAATTTCATATTTTCTACCTCTTCTGCACCTGTATCATCCTCATCATAGCCCGGGGCTTCTATTTTTATATCATCAGCGAATTTACAGGGTTCATTGATTGGATTGACAGGTTTAATTTAATGTCATGTACCATTATTGAAGATAGTATCGGGCCTAGAACAGTCCCCTGAGGCACGCCACGACCACGATTAATTTTCAAGAAATTGGTTGTGATGCCATCAACTGTTACTCTCTGTTTGCGATCTTTTAAGAAATCTATCATCCAATTTATGATGTACGGGTTAAAAGGCAATTTCTTAACTTTTCCAAATAGTATGTCGTGTGGAACACTGTCAAAAGCCTTGCTAAAGTCAAATGATAGCACTCTCACATATTTCACACCATTATCCAGCCCTTTCAACCACGTATGTTGACATTTAATTAAAGCTATCGTTGAGTTATGTCCCACTTTATATGCGTATTGGTCAGAATCGATTGAGTGATACATAACATCTAGCTGCGATCTCATTTTTGTATATACATCTCTCAAATAATCTCATTATGATGTCTGTTAGTGAGATGGGTCTCAGTTCAGAACTTGAGTTGATAACATTTTCTTTTGGTATTGGAACTATATTCGCTCTCTTTCATACTTCAGGGACTTTTCCAACTTTCAGAGATACGTTAAATATTTTTGTTATAGATGGAGCTAATTCAGCTGCGTATGTCTTCCAGAACCAGTGTTACCGGTAAATCGTCAGGGCCAGATGATGAACACTTCTCTTTTCTTAGGAAGTTGTAGACAATATCGATAGAAAGAAACGGAATTCTAGTTCCCTCTGGAATTTCTAGTAACTGAGGGGCTTAATAATTAGGGTCAGTGTTTATAGTTTGAAAGTAGGCATTTATAATATTCGGATCAATCAGAGAGCTAACAGGTGCAGAATTTTTCTCTTTCCTGTCAGTAATGTTATTAACATTATTCCACCATTTCTTTCTTACAGTTTTATGAATTTGGTTCTCATTTTGAACAGCATTAAATTGATTGGCGCAAATTAGTGTGTTAATTTGATTTTGTAGACGAAAAGTAGATTCTTCATCACCTACGCCTACAGCTTTCTTCCTTTTTTTCAACAAATATTTTACGAGAGGGGACATGAATGGTGCATCGCGACGATGTTCGGACTTTTATCAGTGGAAAATTGTTCCCAAATCTCGGCCAGAGACTTTCATAAAGTTGTTTATTCATCTCATCAGGGGCTTGGTCATATTTTGTTATCTTGGACCAGTCCAAATTCTCTAGTTCTCATAGCATGTTTAATTTTCTATGTTCTGTCACATCCCTAAAGAATGAATTTGTTCTTTTTGCTTTTATAATGTTTCTCGAGTATGTAGGTCGCGATTATTCTATCTGTTTATATCTCCAGTAATAATTATCTTTGTATTAGGGTTTTCCGATAATAACTGCTCGCATGAGTCCATTAGGAATTCTAATAAATCGTCTGCATTATAATTATGGTCGGGAGGATGGTATACAGCTGCAACATTAAAACTGGAGTTTTCAGTTGTAATTTTTACCCATATAGGCATTCAAACGGGTTATCCATATTTGGTATTTTTTCCATTCTCCAATCTTTTCTACAAAGGATTGCCACTCCACCACCACGGGCACCTAATCCATCTTTTGTAAGGGGTTAGGTTTCAAGTGGGACGAAAGTCCTGTTCCTTTCTCCTGTCACACATAACTTGTTTATATATAATAAAACAGTTATTCCACTCACTCTCGTCGTATGCGATTGGTAGCCAACTCGATGCTACGCGTACGCACCTCGTCAGCTATCAGCTAATACACGGCTCGAGTTCACAAAATAACTATTATATATTCAGACTTTTTGGTATTGTTTACAAAGGTGGTGATGTCAACAAGCAAGACAATTTTGGACGCAGTCCTCTCCATGTGGCATCTGCTGTTGATTACGTAGAGATGACGGAGTTTCTTTTAGTTAACAACGCAGATATCGACTCCAAGACGTACGGCGAAATCCAAGCTGCAATCCATTACGCTGCAAAAAATGGCGCCACTCGATCATTGAAGATGTTGTTGAGTTTCCACGCAAATATAGATACACTGGATGCGAAACAAAGGACCCCACTGCAGGTACAAACTTTAAAGTCGTGCTATATTTATCACACAATAATTCTTTCTTTGAGTTTGGTACCAGGTGTATCTTTCATTTTGCAGATTGCCTCATCTTGATTCTATCATAATTTAATTTTAAAAGATTAATTTAATTTAAAAATATTTATGTTGCGCTAAAGATACAAATATTCTAAAGTGTAGTTTGTAATAATAATATTAGACAGATTTAGATCGAGGACGCGGACATCAAAGACGACGTGAAAAAATGGCGTCAAAATGCGTGACATATCCATACATGGGCACAACCCATTTTCACGTCGTCTTTGATGTCCGCGTCCTCGATCTAAATCTGTCCAATATACATGCAGGTATTATGAAATTACAATATCACGTATCTATTACAGGAAAGTTAAAAAATGTATCATAAACTTATCAAGGGCTATACAAGTATGTAAAAGGCTTTCTTAAATAAATAATTCTTCAAAAGGTTCTTAAAAGGGGACACATTAGAAGATTATCTTATATTTAAGGGTAAACCGTTCAAGCAACAGGTCTAGCTTCAAAGAAAGCCCCGTCCCCAAAAGTCTTGCAAGTTGTTCTTGGGACCACAAGTATAGTTTCTGCTAGTTGGATCTTAACAATAAGGACCAGCCATTAACCGAAGCAAATGTTCTAGATAAATGGGTGCCTCACCGTGTCAGCAGCACTTTGAAAGCGATAAGAGCAATTTTATAAACCATGCGGTAACGAACTGGCAACCAATGAAGTTTCCTTAAGACGGGCGTGTAATATGCTCAAACTTGGGAATTAGATAAACTACTCTACCGGGTGTCCCAAAAAAAAGTACTCCGGTTTGATTCGTAATAACGTCTAAACAAGTAAAGCTTTTAAAGAGAAATAACTTGCATCAACTAGAGCAAGGACTAACTTAGATTTTGATATATTACAGTGATATTTCACTTAAAAATTTACGGAGATATTATTGTTTAAAATCGGGAGCATATTTCTGGATGTGTCTGAAATATGCAAAAGACGGCGTATCAAATGTTAATCATGATTTGCACGACTGAAACATGCACTATTGCCAGTAGGTAAATGACACTTGACAAATTGTTTATTAATGAAACAATTAGTATTATTATCTACAAAATACACGCACGATTTATTCGTCCGAATCCGCGTGTGTTCCTAGCACGAATACGTTTCCTTTTTTCACGAGACCACTGCATCGCGAACGATCGTCATGGATCGTTCGTAGTTCTGAATTAAGACATAACAAGCAACTCCCCAGAGTCATCCAACACTTTTGGAACAAAACGTAAGAAAATAGTAGCGTTGATATTGTGATGTGTATTTGCAAAAAGCAATATTATTTCCTTCATTTAAAGAATAATATTCATCCTGCTCTATAACCGAGAAATAATCAACTCTGTTTTGAACCCATGAAAAACATTAAAAAATTAGGCTATTTAAGAAAAATTTAAGCGCCTGCCTTGCATGGTCTTTCATGCATGTATACCTTTAAGTTTGCAAAGACCTATTTCGAACGTTCATATTTCAGGAAAAAATTAGCTAAGACTTAAATGTAAGATGTCTAAATCTACGCCAAATCCCTTACAAACCCTAATGACAATTCGCTGAAATACAAGTTATAGCCTGATATGTCATTAAGCAAACAAACACTGGCGTTAATATTTGATATGCTGATTTTCGCTAATTTTAGACACATCCCAAAATATGCTCCCGATTTTGAACATTAATATCTCCGTGAATTTTTAAGTAAAATACAACTGTAATATATCAAAATCTAAGTTAGTCCTTCCTCTATTTAATGCAAGTTATTTCTGTTTGATATCTTTACTTGTTTAGAATTTATTATAAATCAAACCGGAGTACTTTTTTTTGGGACACCCGGTAGCAGCAGCTTTCAGAAAATAAGCTGCAATCAATTAAACGGATACGGAGGTATACCATACAGAGAGTGACCAAAGCATGGATAAGTATTTTAGTTGGGTCAGGAGAAAAATTCTAATAAACTGCGAAATGCCCTGCTACAAACTTAATGATCACTGTATAGATAGTTGCTGTCTGGAACCGATTATCAAAAACTCAGTCTTGGTGTCATTAATTAACAATCCATGCGTAATTAGGTCAGGCTCAAACATCGACTATGTATATTCCTCCATTGAATTCATGGGATCTTCATGGGAAAACAAAGAAGTACTGTAGGCTTGAAAAGATGCATAGTTGAGTGTCGTATGCAAATCCGTGGGCAGAATGAAGATGCTTTGATGATGCTTTTAAATATTTCAGAAGCGTAGAGAAGAAATAGAATATTGTTGTGGACTTTTAACAGGGCGGTCTCGGTAGAGTGAAACGTCCGATAGGAAGATTTAGTGGAACAGTGATCTTAGAGTTAATAGAACTAGTATGAGGCTAAACATGATATCAAGAATTTTCAAACCGAGGTCTGAATAATTAACAATTATCAACCGATTAGTGGAGGTTAATAATGCAAGCAACCAATCCAATTGCGCAAAAGCACCACCCACCTCCCAAGTATGTGCTAATTCTGGATATTATACGTAAGCAGAATCCGATAATTGTTTTATTATACGTTGAAAAGTACAAACGGGAAAGACAAGACTGGCTGCCGGTGGAAAAGATGCAATAAATTAATTTCCGAGTTTTAGTCCCATATATCTGCGCTATTATATCTGAATGCCGGACCGTGTTCATTTTTAGCATTTTGACAGATCAATTGATTAAGTGAATAGTGAATAGTGACTGTTGAACTGTTTACAACTGTTTCCTTCTTTTCATTAAGGTCGCTGCAGAATGGGGCCGAGGCAAAACGGCAAAAATCTTGATTGCAGAAGGAGCAGCTTGTTGTTTATTGGACATCACGGGTAACTCTGCACTGTGCGTGGTCATTGAACATCTACCAAATCTCGCAGTCGAAGCTCTTATAACCAATTGCATATTTCTGATGTGATTACATCGCGTGAATACTACTTTTTACAGCATCTAGAAGCTTCGCGGCAAAAATTTGAAACGAAAACAGTGAGAACTCCTCTCGAAACCGCTGTGGCTAATCGCAAATACGAAGTAGTAACGCATCCGGTTATGCAGAGGCTGGTGCATAACAAGTGGAAACAATATGGCTGGTTTTCAACCGCTGTTCATTTGTTTTTTCACGTTGCTTTTGGCATCGCATGGACGGTGTTTTCTATTGGTACGCCAAGACATGGAAAAGACGTTTACAATGAATTCGTGGATAGAGTTTGGAAAATTACTCTTGGCGTTACTATTCTACTTATGACTCTGTATGACATTGGGAAACATTTTCGAGGTCAGTATTGTTCTCCACATCAAAATGCATTCCCAGTATAATTTATCCATATATTCACGCTATCTAGAATTCGTACTTGAATGATGCGGTGAAGGCAATCTTCCCCCAGGATAAACAGCGGCGTAGCCAGACCTTCATTTTTTGGGGAGCCAAGCTCACGCCGAAGGCGTGAGATCGTCTAGGGGGTCCGGGGGCATGAACCCCCGGGAAAATTTGAAATCTTGGGTCCCTGAAATGCGATATCCAACATTCTTGGGGTGAAATCTTGCAGAATTCCGAAGATTATAAAGTGCATCGAACACATGAATTTTCCCAGACATTTCTACTCGGAATTAAGTAAATTGGAAAAGTCACCTTGAAAAACAGGAGGAGGGGTCAGTGTCACCTTATTTACCCTCTGTGATGCTGGGGGGGGGGGAGAAAATCCCAAAGTGATTTTGATCAGAAATGTTGCATTTAAATCATTCTAGGTTCTATGAGACACCATTTTCGCATTCTCAAAATTGCGTTTCTTCTCCATACGATACAGAATAAGTCTGAGAAGAAATATTCATGCTATGATAATGCATACATGTATTTAAATCTAAACTAAATCTATTCTTCTTGGAACCACATCTATAACTGCGTTAACGAGATTTTACAAATCAAGTTCCTCCAGTAGGCTATGTCGTCTTTTTCCGTAGTCCAGACGTACTTAATCAGTTTCAGCTTCGAGCATGTAACGTGTACCAATTTCTCTACGGATTTAGCCGTTTTGAGAGAATGGGTTTTAGGGCGATTGGCGTAAGGTTTTATAGAGAAATAAGAGTGGCTGTAATCTTTCGACAGCCTCGATTTGTATACAGGTCAGCAATAGACTATTTGTTTACGAGCTTTACAGATATGATTGCAGGACGACCATTGCTGTAAGCTTGTCGTGTATGCATGTTGACATCCCAACGCGCTATCAACACAATATTTCAGGACGACTCAATCAGTAGCGCTGCTACATTAAACTAAATGTTGGTCTTTGAATTATAAGGAGAGCTGTCCATAAGGAGAGCTGTCCATGCTTTGATTGGCCCCAACCCACTTGATGTTTTGATAAACCAAAACGCCCTATTAGCAGCCTTGTGAATGTTACATGATTTTAAGCTAGTTACATTTACAGTTATATTATCATAAAAGTAATTATAGTTACCGAGACAAGTCATGATGGAATGAAGTAACTAGTTTACCTACAGTGTTACAAAGTTATCTTAATTAAGAATTTCTGAACTACAAGTAGTTACAAATCCTAGACACAACATAATCGCTATCTATATGGAATATATAGTATACGGCATGAAATTGAGCGGCCATGTTGTATCGGATCAGATACAAATCGGTTCGTGGAGAGGTTGAATTTAATTCATTTCATTTCATTTTTTATATATGGAAAACCATTTCGTTTCTTCATAATTATTAATAAGTTTTACAATATCGTATGTACACGCGTTTACATATGGATTAGTCTACGTCACAGTTATTATATAGAATACGCTAAGGTATCATATGTATTATAGGTATATTACGCAATACTACACTATACATACTATAATATATTATACATACTATAATATTATACTATACAGTCTATATACGAGGAATACAGCTTGAGTTCTTTCCATACATGGAGCATTAAACGCTTCCGTAATTATATTCTTTATTCCAGATCATATATCTTGGAACTACCCTATAACACAGTAAGCAGTTATTAAAACAATCCAAAAATATTGGGTTAAACGGGTAAATTAAACTTAAGAATTCAAACGAGATGGCCCCCAAACACAAGTATATTGACGTCATTTTTCTGAGCCAGAAAAAATTAAATTAGCATGTTTTTTGTATTATTATCATGCAACATAACTGGTTTTAATACTTTCCCAATTTAGCTACGTTCAAGTCTCGAAGATCTCAAAGAAATTGGATCAGATGGAAAATGGAACAACTTGAATACGACTTGAAGTATTGCCATCCAAGGTGGCCGCAGGAGAAGAAATTCGTGAAAACCGAAATGAAGAGAGTGCGTG